TGTGAGGCTGTAATTACCTCCATTTGGAATCTAGTCACACTCATCATGCCTGGAGTTTTAAGAGATGCATTTCGGGTCTATATTTAAATTTTTGTTTCTAATATTGTGTTTCCTTAAATAAAGAGAATTTCGTTTTGCGCATTATAAGCTATGATGCTTGGATTCAAGTACGAGTACGTATCCAAGTGTCAGGTTTTTTGTTTTCTAAAATGTAAAATACGGAGACATAGCTAAAAATAGTCCAAATTTTTGACACGAGTACGTGGGTACGTCGTTCACACTTTAATTTTGAATTTCTTAGAAATTCGCCTGTAAAAAGTTAAATAATAATTAGGTAGCAAATTGTTAAAAGATAGAACATATCACTTAAAACCAACTAGAAATTTATAATAAAGGTCTAAAACACCAAAAATAGCATAAATTTCTCTCACAAAAGTACAAAATTAAAATAAAAGTTACATAACATAATTAATTACGACTGTCTTACCCACTTGAAAATTGAAGAATCTGCCCCATATTTCATACTCATGTAGTGTCGTATCGACATATGTCGGCCGAAGTGCCAAGGTCCGAGCATCACAGATTTTAAGTAAATTGTCACGCATAAAGTATGTATGCATGCATGTATTTTCTACACTGAGAAACCTATACATGTAAATTTGGATGGAGAGGATCAGTAGAAAGCACGTCGACTCTAAATTTGTAGAGAACAAAATTTCATTCGTCCGTGAGGCCGTCCTTCATTTGTCGAATCATACAAGCAACTAATGCTAATACCACGACTTGTGGTAGTGATTCCTAATTAGTAATTTGATGTAGCAGGCCATGGATTTTCCTGGTGGACGAGTCTCTTTCACTCATGAGATGAAATTCATATCAGAGGCAGCAGATAAGAGAATACCATGTTACCGTGTCCTCAGTGATGATGGCTATCTAATTGCTGGCAGCAGATTTGAGCAGGTAAGAATTTCATCTACTTTTAAGAATGTCAATGTTATTGTTGCAATGATTCCGCACAAGTGGAAAGACCCAGTATATTGAACTACCACATCTAATAGCTTAAATTTAGTATTTAACTCACTTCTGCACATCCTTGTCACTCCACATTTTTCCAGTGGAAACCAGCCATGTTTGAAGAGAGAATCAAATCTGCATATACATTACAAGGTTTTCTTACGACGCGCGTTCCTTAGTTTTAACTTTTATACAAACTGTACTAGGTGGACAAAGAAACAGCAGTAAAGATGTACAAAAGCATGGTTACACTTCAGATAATGGATAACATCTTTTACGAAGCTCAAAGGCAGGGGAGAATATCCTTCTATCTCACCTCGACGGGGGAAGAGGCTATTAACATTGCGGCAGCAGCTGCTCTCACTTCAGACGATGTTATATTACCTCAGGTAATGCAAATCATAACTATAAGTGCTATGGTATGAGCAATAGAGGTGGCGTTTAGTTTAAGATCTTAAAAGCTTCATTTTCTGTGCTATTTGTCTTCTATGGCAACGGTTAGTCGCTCAGTGCATTGCAAAGTTTTATTCTAAGTTTCCAAACTTTGTTTTGTTCCAAAGTAATCAGTGAAGCTTGCTTTTTGTTTCACTTTGCTCACTTGACTAAAATCCGTTCATTTTCATAAGGGAATGTCCGACGTGGAAATGGTAATTTGTTGTAGCATCAACGTAGAGGTCTTCCACGTCGGGGATTCTGTTTTTAGAAAAATTAGTGATAGTATTAAACATGAGTAAAGCCATTTGTACCCTGGCGTTTACACGCCAGGGTACCTGGTCCCACAGCCCCCCTCACAATGNATTAAACATATATTGACGATGCAGTACCGGGAGCCTGGAATTCTATTATGGCGTGGTTTCACCCTGCAAGAATTCGCCAACCAGTGTTTCGGCAACAATGCTGATTATGGGAAAGGCAAGCAAATGCCGATACATTACGGCTCTAACAAGCACAATTTCTTCACCATTTCGTCTCCTATTGCGTAGGTTTTGAGCTCCTTTTTCCTATCAAGACTTGGCAATTTTAGGAATTTCGTTGTTTAAGAAATTTGTTGTTGGATTTTCCATGTCAGTACACAGCTACCTCAGGCTGCAGGTGTCGCTTACTCCCTAAAGATGGATAAAAAGGAGGCCTGTGTTGTAGCTTTCACGGGAGATGGCGGAACCAGTGAGGTAAATCTCCTTCGAAATTTAGTACTGATACTATATTCTTATAAA